TAAAAAGGAGAAACGATAGGCCCCAGCTTATGGTCTCAAGGCCCTTGGTCGGAATCACATTGTAGTGGTTGGCTTTTATACATCTCTCCAAGAAGTTCAATCTCTCGTACTGTTGTTGAAGTATCTTAAAAACTAAATTTGTCTCTTGTTTATTTTCCTAACAAATCAAAGAATTACTTGAACACATGCTTGACTGCTAATATAGAATGCTAATCGCGGATCGTTAGCGAGAAGATGGTGCCGTTTGTACGTCAATGCAGTAATGGAGCCTATAATTTAGAGTAAACTATAGAATTGGTCTTTAAACTTACAATCTAGTTTAGATTTTATCCTAAAACTAAAAGTTCATTAATTAACATTCTTGAATTTTGTTTAACGTATAATATTGGTCCCTGCACTTACACTCTAGTTTACATTTGATCCTCAAACTAAAAATCCGTTAACTAACATCCTTGAATTTTGTTGCACGCTTGTTAACTGATCAAGAATGCTTAGCTTACATTCGAAATCCTATATTTGAGTCTTCACTCCTAATATGGTTGGTATAAGAATAAATAAAAAGAAATAATGATATGTAAGAGACATACATATAGACACACACACACACACACACACACACACACACACATATATATATATATATATATATATGACATATTTAGTTATTGCAAATGCAATGGATATGATATGTATTTGCGGCCTTGGGGCCTCTACGGGAATGATCCTTATATTATAGTGATTGTGAAGTGTGAACTAACAAATCAGTAGTTGGGATTATGAATTGTTTGTGGTCCTTGACACTGTCCTGATTAAGGTTGTTTCTATTCATTGTATGATTATTATTCGAGTTTAACTCTTCAAGTAGTAATGAAGTCTGAAAATGTAACAGCCTTGCACCCCCATCATATCGAACTCATAAAGGAAGTTGGTGACTTGATGACAAGGGAGCCGGCGACCGAGGGCTTGGTGCACTATGAGAAAAAAAAAGCAATGAATCTTGTAAGATTTTCGAGAAATTCTTCGGTTTTTTATACTAGTTTGATATACCTTGTGTTTTTTCTTTTGGTTAGCTTTTCCCTTTTCAAATGGAAGTAGAAAATTTATTTTATTTATTTATTTTTTTTTTTGGAAATTGCCAAATGGAGGTCCATAATTCAACTCGTAACACTATTATCTGATTACAAAGATAACTAGATAAGCAAATACAAATTATTTTGGTTATTTTTCTTTAAATTGAACCAGACTGCGCATAACAATTAATAAAATTCATGCATGATGCAAACCCTTCGTCGAACTCGAACCCACGTTCAACAGGAATCATGCCACGATAATATATATATACGTATGGATTTTGTTTTTATGTGTGCGCGTTCATAAAGAAATTGTCAAAATCTTAAGCTCCTAGTTCTAAAGTCACAGTCGTAATTTTTTCTTTCTTTATTATTTGGCCGGTCACCATTATCGCATATTATATATTCAATTGTTTAATTATATACCAAACACATAGCATGTCGATTGCAATAACTAAATGAGAAATTTTATTTGAATTCAACTTTTTTATCTATACACTAACCAACAAAATTTTCCCATCAAATTTTAAAATTTGCCCTTAAATAAATAGGAATCAGAAAATAAGTATTGAAATATTTATCTCTACACCCAATAACCCTAAACTCACATCACCACTACACCATTTTTTTCGGCAACCCAATCCAAGCACCACGACCATTGATGCTCATGTTTTCTATCTCTTTGGATCTAACTAATAGGAAAATAAAAAGGAGCCGGGTGGAGGGATTTTTTTTCCCATTTTTCATGAGAATAGTAGTATTAATTTACTTTTTGTAAATCAATATATGAAGAAAAAAGTGCGTATGCATACGGTGCGGAGTTGATTTAAGTGTTGATGGAGTTTAGGTTGGATTCGTCAGAATTAATGGAGGCATGGAGTGGTGGCGGTGGGGTTTATTGGGTGAAGGGATCTAAATTAGACTTCAATTTTATTTAGGGAATTGTTATTAGCATTCTAAAAATCTCATTTTGCACTTCAAACTTTCTGTATTAGGAAAGAAAAATACACTTGTAAGGAGTGTAGAATGAGATTTTTGGAGTGCCAATAACACTTCCTTATTTGTTTAAGGACAAATTCGAAAGTTTAATGGAGAGAAAATATTAGTTGAGTGTAGAGAGAAAACCTTTGGGTCCAAATAAAATTTCCCTAAGCAGATATATCATATATATATATATATATATAGGATTATCGTTGTTTCTTTATACTTTTTCTTATACAAATCATACTGTAAGATTCGAATATAAGACCTTGAATGTAAGCACTCTTGATTGGTTAACAAGCACTCTTGATTGGTTAACAAGCACTCTTGATATATTTGGAATACAAGTGATTTTGGGAAAGCTTCCTCAAGAAAAATTAAAAATTAAAAGTAATTGCTACTGAACCATTTAAATTTAAATTTTTATTTTTTACTGAAAATATGAGTACACCACTTGGAATTCAATTTTCTTTAACTAAAACCTATCATGATAAATTTCTCTAACAAAAACCCAATGACTAGGCTCCAACTAAGCAATATCCATAATTAAGTTTGACTTGGCAAAATTTGTATTTTTGGATGTCTAAATTACCCCTAATAACACTTACTTTGGGTCTCTCACTTATTATCTACATTTATTTTACATTATTTCATTCAATTAAATGTCTTCAAATACCTTATGGGGATTTGGAAAAAAATTTAAATGTCATGATTCCTATGCATTTAATAACAAAAATTTACATGCTTCCAATGTTCCTTGTATAGTTGTTTTCACATGATGTTAACAGGTAAATTAGTATATCCTACAAATATAAAAAAGTTATTTTATTCAAAATTATCAATATTTTAAATATAACATAGGTGAATTATTTTGCACAACATATATATAATAACAATATAAGTTCCTAGTAAATTATGTAATGATACATGCAAAATAATTTATCCACAAAATAAATAATTAATTTTTATTCAAAATTAATTAAATACCAATATTTTGCAAAAAATAAAAATAAAAATTATATAAAACAATTTACCTATTGTAGACATCGAAATTTCGGTAAATAAATGTTGACCGATAAATTAAAGTGTCAACGCTCATGTATTACATAAATTTTACACGTAGCATGCAACTCAACGAAAATTGAAATGAGTTGGAAAAGTCGTCAAATAGGACACGTGTCAACACCTGGCAGAAACAACTTATTTCATCTGGGATATTATATTCAAAATTAGGCCTTGGAAAATTCTATAAATACAAGCCCATTTCATTCATTTGGGGGAGGAATTCATATTATACCTTGAAGCTCTGAAGCTCTGAAACTCCGAAGCTCTCAAGCATCTAGGTTCCCGAAGAATCAAGAAAGCCTTCTTCGTTCTTCGTTCATCGTTCTTCCAAGATCAAGCCCCGACGGCCCTTGAAGAAAGTGTTCTTCGTTCATCGTTCTTCCAAGATCAAGCCCCAACGGCCCTTTGGATCAACAATCATCCACCAATTCAAGATCAAGCCCCGACGGCCCTTGAAGAAAATGTTCTTCATTCTTCGTTCTTCGTTCATCGTTCTTCCAAGATCAAGCCCCGACGGCCCTTGGATCAACCATCCACCAATTCAAGATCAAGCCCCGACGGCCCTTGAAGAAAGCACCATCGTTCATCATCCGTTCATCCAAGATCAAGCCCCAACGGCCCTTTGGATCAACAACGTCGACAAATCCACACATCCAACCGTTCTTCAAGATCAAGCCCAAAAGCCCTTGAAGATCCGTTCATCACTGTTCTTCAAGATCAAGCCCAAAAGCCCTTGGAGATCCGTTCATCACTGTTCTTCAAGATCAAGCCCAAAAGCCCTTGGAGATCCGTTCGTCACTGTTCTTCAAAGATCAAGCCCAAAAGCCCCTTTGAAGATCCGCTCAAATCCACCTTCAAGATCAAGTCCACGGCCCTTGAAGAACGTTCATCCTTAGATCAAGCCCAACGGCCCTTCGGATCAATCACAAATCCACAAATCAACACCTTACGGAGATCGAATCAGAGGATCAAAATAGAGAGAGATTGTAACCCAAAATCATCAAATACTTAATATTTGTTTGTGCACGTTGTTCTTGTCTCTTTCGTTTCAGGAATTTTCCGTGTTCACACCTATATGTAGAATAATTTACCTACAAAATAAAAGAATGTCGATTGATTGCACATTCTATATAATAATAACAAAATGTGGCTAGTATATATGTAATATCACATGAAAAATAATTTACCTACAAAATAAATAAATATTTTTAGCCAATTGATTCAAAATTAATTAATTACATATTATTTTACATAAAAATATAGATAAATTATTTACACACATATATATAATTTTAACAAAATATGCCTAATACATACATGCAAAATAATTTACCTACAATGATTGTCAAACAAATAAAAGAAATGAAACATATGATAGTAAGAGAAGTATAAAGTAGATAATTTTATAATAATAAGGAACTTATTTCCCACAATTATGGTGGATAATTAAATTCATTAAGACAATTAGAGTGTTGTGGCACAATTGTAAATAGTTTGAAAATAATAGGTATTTATTTGTTTACATGGCAGTCTACTTCAAATTTGGATTTTATTTAGATGTTTAAAATGAAATGAGTTTTTATCAAAGAAATAAATGTTACATATATTTATATCTAAAGAACTCTAATTTTTATTTTTGAACGAGGAACCATTTAAAATTTTAAACTACCCGCCTTTTGCAGGACCCTTAATGTATATTTCTGAAAATTAATCTGTTTCGATCAAACATGGTAAATATTTGCTCAACATGGTTTAAAGTCAACAATTGAGTTCCACGAGTTCATTAAAAACTTTTTTTTAATAACGATTAAACTATCTATATGCACGTATCTTATTTGTTTGACTTTCAGTGTGTTGGGATTTATTTACTCCCAAAAAAGCAGAAGAAGGAACAAAGGTCCTCTACTTCACATTCTCTCCCAGACTCCCACTTCAAGTTCAAGTCCTTTCAAATCACACAAAAGCAAGCCAAACAACACCATCATCGATCAATTCAAAATCATGTTCAGTGGCAACCCAGACCCTCCCAAAAAGTCCCTCATAACTAAACAAGCTGATGAGAACAAGTTCTTCTCTAAGCATTTGTCCAAGGAAAGCTCCGTAACTAACCCATCTTTGAGAGTATATTATGGAGGATTGCCTGCTAACGTCCCATTCGTGTGGGAATCTCAGCCAGGTACCCCAAATTACGCATTCAGTGAGGACACAGTACTTCCTCCTCTCACTCCTCCTCCTTCATACTATTCCAATTCCTATAAAAAACCAACCAACAACAAGCATTCAAGATCCAATCTTTTGCACACCCTTTTCCTAAAAATAAGTCTCAAGAAAACCCAAGTGCCATCTTCGCCTTCATCGTCACCATCTTCGTTGTTCTCGCCATCTTCAAATTCATCAGTGAGTACAAGGAAGTACCATGGAAGGAACCGGTTTACGAGCAACTCCTCGTTTGATTCTATGGGAGATTATGAAGAAGAGGATGTTGGCTCACCTACTTCAACATTGTGCTTCCGATTAAGCAGGGTGAGCACTGGAGGCAACAGAGGCTGCCATGGATTTTAACATGATGAAAAAGGCATGATGGCCAATGCAAGGTTACTCTTAAGTTTTGTTTGTTTAATGTCTAGAATGTATTGTGGTAGTAACCTCAATTACTTCTCAAAATTCTTATACATAATTATTTATCTGAAAAAGTGTATATCTAGTCGTTGTGCTAATTCTAATCAGTCACGCATACTCCTTTTGCTTCTCTTTCATTTTCTGATTTGTACAAGTTCAACGAACATTAGTTACATAATTTGTAGCTCAAGTGGTTAAAAGCGCTTATTATTGGAGGTTCCGTATTTGAATTCATCTCCCTAATACCCCTTCTACAAGGGGAAAAGACATAAATCTATGTAAAATGTGGCTGTTAGCCTGTTAGCCTGTTAGCCTGTTACTGTCAATATCAAAACTTTAAGGTAGTACCATTTACAAATCTTTGGTTTGGGTTTATTTTTTATATGTAATTAGAAATATCATCCTGATAATCATAAATAAAAAAAAAAACTCTTGCAGAGTTTAGATGGAGAACAAAAAATAACCCTCAGCTAGCCACTTCTCATTTTCTCGCTGATTTTCAGTAGCCAAATTCTTTTAGTGTCTTCTTCCATTGAAACTCATCATCATTGTTTTCTTCATAGCGTATCGAGCTTGAAGTGTTTTTTTTTAATCTAAGATTAATATTGTTATTCAGGAGAAGCCTTTATGTTTTTTTTTAAGCGCAATATCAAGGGTGGTTGGTGCTGTTGAGGGGAGGGTGGAAGGAAGAGAATCCATACTTTGAGTTAGAGAAATGCTAAGGAGACTCTCTCAAAAGTAGGCATAATTCCTGTGCCAACATTATAAATCAATATGCCAAAAAGATGAGGTGGCAAAGAGTCTATGAAGAGTCTTACTTCAAGAGAGTCTCCTTAGCATTTCTCTTGTTTAAGCTGTTCTTAATACATCTACCATAGACAGCATCTTATTTTGATTTGGGTTTTGAGAAATGGATTTGCTGTTTTGCACTCTGGTAGTTGGTTGTTGGGAGCATTGTGTTTGATTTGTGTTTTTTTTTTCTCTACATCTGGCTGCTAAATATTTAAAGCAGGGGGGGGAAGATGGGTGCAGGTCCCAGTCCATATATCCAAATGTTTGTTCGATCATGATGAACTGTATTAGCTGCAATCTCACATGTGGCTTTATTATCACAATACAACTTCATGGCTTCTTTCGGACCATATCTTAAATCCTTCAAGATATTCCATAACCAAAGCATTTCATTAGTTCCCAAAGCAACTATCCTATACGTACTATGCTTCAATACTTGAGCGAGCAACAACATTTTGTTTCTTACTTTTCCAAGTCACCAGATTACCTTCCAAAAACTTGAAGTAACCTGAAGTTAAATGCCTATCATCGATCAATCCAGCTCAATTGGCATATGTATATGCTTCAACCTTCAAATGACCATTCCTTGAAAACAAGATCCCTTTTTTGGAGCAAGCTTCACATATCGTAAAATTCGCACCGATGCATCCATATGTTGCTTCCTGGGATCATGAATAAATTGACTTACCACACTTAAAGCATAAGTCAAGTCTGGTCGCGTATGAACCAAATACATCAAATCTTCTTACTAACTGGTGGTATCTCGTCGTATCACATAGTAGTTGATCCAGATCAGACAACAACTTCAACCCTTCTTCCAACGACATATCAACTGGTTTTGTGAAATCCCACTCCTGGATTTCACTATTGTAAATTATGTATTATGTATTAACGAGATTTTATATTATTGTCTAGAATTTATATGAGTTTTATTAAATTTAGATTTTGATAAAATTAATTACGAAGTTTGAATTTTGGTCAGTAATCGTTAAAAATCCATAGACCTTACAAGGTTACATTAGGTACATATGGAAAAAGCTCGATCCAACTAGCACGTAGGTGAAAATCGTTCATGAATCGGAGTTGAAACGAAGAAATTAGAGGCACTTAAAAAAAAAATGGAAGCTGCCAGATGGCAGCGGGAGAGAGGGCGAAAGGAGAGACGCGAGAGAGAAAAGGGGGAGAGTGTGACCAATCAGGAGGAGGGGAAATGAGGGAAAGGAGAGAAGGGGGAAGATGAGGGAACCAGATTCAACTCATCAACCCGTTTTTGCGTGACTCGACCCGACTGCAACCATGGATTCCGAACCCAACTTTGGCGTTTCTTTGGTGATTCACAGTGATAAAAACACCTGGGGATAACTCCATAACCTTCCCTCTTCCATTTTCATAAAAAAATTGATACAAATTGGTCCATTTCTTGAGAATTGAAGCCGAGGGCTTTATGGGGTGCACGGTTGCAATCCGCCATTTCTGATTGGTATTCCAATGCTTACCACCATCAAAATGCTTCCCTTGAACCTAGTAGCAAACCCCAAACAAGTATGGGTGTGGTGGAGTTGAATATTTGACAAATCAAAGCTCACCATTTCTAGGGTTTTTCGATGGATCGAGGGCAATTTAAGGTATTTACCGGCCGAATTGGACTTCGGCCCAGGTATGAAAGCTTTTCCCCTTGTTGTGTTCTACAATTTTGTAAAATTTGGTAATTTTTGGACTTAGTCGGAAAATTAGGTTTCCGTTTGTCGGAAAGTGTGGCCAGTGGGCCAACTTTGTCTTTCTAGGCTAAATTTGATATTTGACATCTGCTTGATGAAATTTCGTCGTTTGAACCTAGTTCCATTAGGGTCCACCACTTGACTAGTGTAGTAAACGAAGATCCGACCGTTAGATCGTTATTGAATGTTAATATGTTATCATACGCATTATTTAAGGACTCTAGAAATTTACGAATCAGAAATCTTGCGGGCGGATCTTCCTAATTGAATTACTACGGTTGACTTTGATCAAAATGTTAGTAACTGTTCTTAAGTTCAAAAATTGGTACTACTAGAGACTAAGTAGAGTCTAGTGGGCCTATATTGGTTAGTGTGCTATCCCAGTTAATATATACCTCGATTTATGTGTATACGACGCATTATTGTGATATATATGTGTATTTAACTTCTTGTTAAAATAAATGAGATGTATGATTGCTAGTTTGAAAATATGAGATGAAACCTTGTTAGAAAATATTCCGTAGAATTCATATGTCTAGGTGACTAGATATTGGGTAGTTAAGAGGAATCAATATTATGTATATTTGAAATTGTGATTCATAATGAATTGACGTAGGTTATAGTATGTGATTCGATATTCGTTTGTTTTGTGGAATCAATAGTGTGTATGCTAGTAATTATAATTTTATTTATGTTGTTGTATGTTGTGTAAAGATGTGACTACACCATGTAGCAGTGGTATATAGAGGGTTCTGCCTGGTTAATCCGCATTGGGGAACCATACTAATTATGGGTTGTGCTTGGTTAATTCGCATTGGGCGATCCTCGTTACCTAGGTATGGCCATACGTAGTTTAGGGGTGATCACGCCTGGTTAATCCGTATTGGGTGATCACTGCCTATCAACATGTGTAGGGGTGACTCCGCCTGGTTAATCCGCATTAGGGTGTCACTACCTACTTGGTTACTTATTGTAGGCTTTGACCAAATTGTGTCACTCTAGCCCTAGTTTTAGTGTATTTGTGAACAATGGTTTTGAGAATATAAGTATGAAATTATATGGTATGGATATAATTGTTATTATTATGGTCAGATTAGTTAATTAATTAATGTGGCTAGAGAATGGTATTGTGCTTCGTCGGTTCTTTGATATGTTACATGATGTGAATTGTGGTATTATGTTGAAAACCTAGTGATTTATATGATTGATGAAATGAAAATCTTGATTGTCATGTGGGTTCGCGATAGAGCTCTGAATCTAATAATTCTTTCTTGTCGAGTTCCAACAATTATTTGATGAATGCTATGCCTTTCTACTAGAATGTTCTGTGGTGAGTGTTGAACTACGAATGGTTTGATCCCATCGGAGGGTATGCATGCAGTCTAACAAAGAGATTAGATGTAGCCATAGAGTAAACAAAAATTTACTATGCAATTCGAATCTTGAGCTGTGCTTTGTTCATATCCCGAAGGCAAGGTATGTTAGATATACGGGTATTTGATGACGTCATGCGTCGATCCTGGACGTATGTTAGGATCGGGGCGTGATAGGTTTACAGGCTGACATTCCAGTCTCATGTAACAAATCAAGAGCATATTTCCTCTATGATAGAAAGATATCATTCTTCGAAAGGGCAACTTCAACACCTAAGAAATACTTCAGTGTACCAAGATCTTTCATCTTGAGTTCGCGTGACAAGTAACATTGCAATGCTTGTTGCTTCTTAAGATCATCACTAGTCATTACCATATATAGAAAATGAGTACTGTAATCTTACATTTCTATTCTTTAGGAGCAAAGTATGATCAGATTTTATTTGTTTGTAGCCAAAGGCTCTCATAGACTTTGTTGAAACAAAGATCTCGATGATTGTTTGAGACCATATATATAATGGTTTCTTCAATTGACACACTTTATTATGATATTCGGCTAGCCTACTCAAACCAGTTGTGAGCTTCATGTACACTTCTTCAGTTAATTCTCCATGTAGAAATACATTCTTCACATCGAATTGGTCCAATAGCCAGTCGAGATTTGCTGCCAAGTGAAGGAGAACTCTAACGGTGTTGAATTTCGCTATTGGAGAAAATGTCTTGTCGTAATCAATTTCATACGTATGAGTGTATCCCTTCGCCACAAGTCTCTCGCTTTGTATTTTTCGATTGATCCATCAGAATTATATTTCATTGTGTAAACCCATAGGCACCCCTACAAGTTTCTTACCCAGTGGTAATTCAACGATCTCCCATGTCTCATTATTCCTTAAGAAATTCATCTCTTCTTAAATTAAGCCATGAAATAATCATTATTCAGCACAAGATGTGGGACTCTGTGACACAGTTCCAAGCATGGGGTATGAATATATACGTGTCGTTTTAAATGTGTACCAAGAAGATCAAAGGACAAAGAAATAGTAAGTGCTGGGTACACCTACTGAGTGTACAAAGAGATTTTATTCTTGGCATATTATTCAATGAAGAGGATGGTACTGAAGAACCTAAACAGGAAGTAAAGGGAAAGAATTTGAAACCACCAACCAGACATATCAACTACAACTTGATCAATATATTTTCAGTCTTTCTTTGTTTGTCTAATTAATTTATCTGCAGCTCTTGTGCTGAAGAAAATGATGACTAATTGCATGTACACTGGTGCTCCATGTGCGCGGGCCATTCGTTGAATGGAATATTTTAGACATAAATGATTCCAACTGCATCCC